ACTGAGGCGGTGATTGAAAAATCTGAGGAGGTAATTGCTAATTCTACTCCTAAATTGAGTTGTGATGAATTTCGGGCTGTAAATTGTTCCGATCCGCATATTTTGATTGCTGTTGAGAGGTTTAATTTGAGGGTTTTTAAGTCTATTGCGTTCATAGAGTATCAAAATCCGGTTAATGGATCAAAAGAAGATGAATGCGATGTTTCTTGGAGATTTAGGAACAAGAAAGAGAAGTCATGGAGGAAGTATAGGGATTTTAGGAGGTTTAAATTTGATGTTGGGGAGGATTGTCATTATAAGGTAGTTCATGCTGGTGGTTGGCATTCAGGTGTAAATGCTCGACGACCGAGAAGCAACCGTACAAGGGGTGGAGGAAGTGCTATTATTTCTCCACCAGTAGGGGACGAGGAGATTAACGACACAATCCCGACGTTGGGATCGGAGATGAATTTCATGAAGGGTAAGTACTTGTACTATTCGCGTGGAGGGGATTATTGTAAAGGAATGAACCAATATCTATGGAGTTTCTTGTGTGGTTTGGGAGAGGCAATGTATTTGAACAGGACGTTTGTGATGGATTTGAGTGTGTGTTTGTCTGGTAGTTATAATCCAAGCAAAAAAGATGAAGAGGGGAAAGATTTTCGTTTTTATTACGATTTTGAGCATCTTAAAGAGGTTAGTTCTATTGTAGAGGAGGGTGAATTTCTGAGAGATTGGAAGAAATGGGATAAAGGCCACAAGAAGAAGAAGATACCTGTTAGGAAGGTTGTGAGCCATAAAGTGACACCAATGCAGCTGAAGAAAGATAAGAAAACGATCATATGGAGGCAGTTCGATGCTCCCGAACCTGAGAATTATTGGTACAGAGTGTGTGAAGGGCAAGCTGCGAAGTATATTCAGCGACCGTGGCATGCCGTGTGGAAATCGAAAAGATTGATGAATATTGTGACAGAAATCAGTGGACGTATGGACTGGGATTTTGATGCCGTTCATGTGGTTCGAGGAGATAAGGCACAAAGCAAAGAGCTATGGCCTCATTTGGATGCTGATACATCTCCTGATGCTATTCTTGAAAAGTTGAAAGGGATGATTCAGCCTTGGAGGAATCTGTATATAGCCACCAACGAACCGTTCTATAACTACTTCGACAAATTACGATCTCATTTTAAAGTCCATTTGCTTGATGACTACAAGGAATTATGGGGAAATACAAGTGAGTGGTACAACGAAACAACGCTTGTAAACAATGGAAAACCTGTCGAGTTTGATGGGTACATGAGAGTTGCGGTGGATACTGAAGTGTTCTATAGGGCGAAGACTCGTGTTGAAACATTCTATAATTTGACAAAAGATTGCAAGGATGGAGTCAATACGTGCTGATCACGTCAACGACAGCATTACTCGTAGGTGAATCGTGTCCCTTGTTTACTTTGTTATTGAATTTCTTAATGATATGATGATCGAAACCATTCTGGTTCAAGTTATGCTCGCTCCTTTTAAAATTTCATGAATTCACGATTTTGATTCATCTCTCTTGTATTTTTGTAATATACAAACAAGTCATTCCATTCTCCATTTTTGTCTCGTAATAGTTACATAATATCTTTTTGATGCTCTTTACGCTTTACTGTAACAGCCCAAGTCCACCGCTAATAAATATTGGTCCTGTTTGGGTTTTTCCCTTCAGGTTTCCCCTCAAGGTTTTTAAAATACGTCTGCTAGGGAGAGGTTTCCACACCCTTATAAAAAATATTTTGTTTCCCTCTCCAACCAATGTGAGATGTCACAGTCCACCCCCTCCCTCTGGGGTCAACATTCTCACTGACACTCATTATTCTCTCCAATCATTGTGGGATCTCACATTTACCTTCCGTTAATCTTGATTTGCGAATTCAAAGATACCAAACTCGGGACTTGAATGATTGATGCTAGACTGACTAAGCTAGAGATATCTCTGGATTACCATTAGTTTTTGCTATCAATACACTAAAGAACAGTAATCTATCATGTTAGTATACTATATTGCCATGAATCCTGGTACTTTCCCTAGGCATTTTGATCTGTTCATTGGAGCATAATTTTCGTTGGCCTTAATGCTTTGTTGGTTTAACTCATGCATTTGTGAAGCTGTTAGAAATGGAAAAACATAAAGCATTATGAATTTCAAAAGAAATATGATAACGACATCAGGATGCATTGTCTGTTGCTCATCTTTCCAGCTAAGTATCTTATATTATGGAGCTGAAGCTGGACTGGTAATGAGCATTATTTTCCATTTTTGGTGATCTATTTGTTGTTTTAAGTAGTTTTGAACTCAGGTTTGTCAATGTTCTGAATATTTTAGGATTTGGAAGTTCCTTTGAAAGGTGAATGTTTGATTGAATTATGAGGCTGAGTGTGGTTGTAATGGAATGAGTTGTCATATTTGTCTTGTTTTTGGTTAGAACTCAACTTCAATAGCCACAGAATTGAGTAGCTACCAAACATGTTAGGGACTCCTCATCAGAACTAGAGTTTAAATTTAGAAACTAGGATCCAACCAACCAATGAGCGTTAAGGCATGTATCTTCGGTTAAGAGGTTAAGTCATAATCCTTTTTGTTATGGCTCTAGCTCTACCTCTTGTCGCTCTAACTTTCACTTTATTCCCATTTTTTCTCTCACTCGGGTTTCTTATTTTCTTCTCTTGCTTTTATTTTGATCTCTTTCACTCTACTTCGTATCTGAAAACCTAGGAGGGTTGTCGACAATGGAGATACGTCAACCGTAGGAGAATTGTTGAAAGGTAGGGATCTCACCACCCTACTTCATATCTGAAAGCCTATAGATATCAGCGGTAGGAAGGTTGTCGACAACAGAGATTTATCAACCATAGGAAGGTTGTCAAAAGGTAGGGATCACGCCACTCTACTTCATCTCTAAAAGCCTATAGATATCAACGGTAGGAAGGTCGTCGACAACAGAGATTTATCAACCATAGGAAGGTTGTCAAAAGGTAGGGATCTCGCCACTCTACTTCATCTCTAAAAGCCTATAGATATCAGCGGTAGGAAGGTCGTCGACAACAGAGATTTATCAACCATAGGAAGGTTGTCAAAAGGTAGGGATCTCGTCACTCTAAAATATGATTATATAATTTTAAAAGTTAGAATTACTTTGTTATATTTGATATGATGCCTTCTTCCTAAATATCCGTCCTTTTTCGTGTTTAGGACTTAATATTATTATTATTTTCTAAATTTAAACTAAGTTAATTATACTTTAATTAAATTTGTATTTATTTCCTTAAAATGATAATATATATATATATATTGCTTTTGTATTAAGGCTTTGTTTGCTTGAGTTGGACGCAATTGCCCACGTTATTCATGAGCTTTTGTTATCCAGCCACTTTTTAAATATATTCTAAATAATAAAAAAATATTATAATAATAATAATAATAAATAAATAAATAAATTATTTGAGTAACTTTATTCAAAACCCCAACAAGGTTATCATTCTCTTTTTAAATACTTTATAACATAATTTCTTTATTAAAAAGTTTCTTAAAAATGTCAAAATTCGATTTCGTAAAAAAGAAAAGAATCTAATTCGAACATTTTCGTTCGGTGAAAACTCAAGATTCTCGTGAGATGAGCATCTGACATGTGTAGCATCTCGGGATGCTTATATATCTTAGGAGGATGAATTTAATAAATTTTTGAATATTCGATTCAATAAATATTTAGTTTTTTATTTAAAAAAATTAACCTTACCAATTCTGCTTTTCACTCATGCAATTTTCATTTTGTTATTTATTTTTTCTTGATAATTTTAAAAATTAGAATTTTATTAGATAAAATTAATAATTAATCTTTTTTCGTATATATATATATATATATTATATATAAAGACTTAACCAATTAAATAAATATTAAATTTGGAATAAGGGAAACAGATTCACAAATTGGACCAACGCCGCTCTCGCCCTTGAGAAGCTCGCCAATATAGGATTTTCCCTAAATGTGAAATCCCATAAATACCCTTTCGGTATTTACTATGTTTACCATTTACTTTTTACCATTTTCTAAAAATAATTAATTAAAGATAATTTATGGCATCGGTTAACAATCTAAGTATATATTATTTTTTTGACAAAATAGACAAATAAATGAATAAATAAATATATATATATATATATATATATATATATATATATATGACTCGATTGCTTAAATGCTTTTTTTATATGAATATTTAGCAACTAATTATTTTAAAAATATCTTAATATATAGCATATTTAAACTAATTATTTGAGTACAAATAAAGAAAATTTTAAAAGTAGCATGGATTCAATTGTCATTTTCTAAAAAGGCAAAAAGGGTAAAATTGTAAATTTGGTTCTTATAATTTAAACCAAGTTAAAATATAGTTCGTGTAATAAAAAAAACGATAAGATTGATAAAACTATCATGTTTGATAGTATATGATCTAAAATTAAATATTTAAAAATATGTATTAAAATAATATTTATTAAAATTTAGGAATTAAAAAAAAAAACTAAAAATCAGCTTAAAGTAAATAAAAAATGAGTTTGAAATCTGATTTAGAAACAAACCCTAATTTGCGATGAAACAAAAAGGGTTTTGGGGTTATTTTTAACAACATTTCTGTAAAAGGAATCAAATTTGGGGGAAAAAGCCAAGAAAAAATTGAAGAATTGCAACTGGGAATTAGCCATTTTCACCGATCGACGAGGACTCTGAGGTCCGCCATTAAAATCAACATCACCACCTTAAATTAAATTAATTGTTGGACAGTTGCCAATTGCCGCTGGTCGAGAGGGGAAGAAAGCAAGGGTTTTTGGTAATACACTTCACACTACTATAAAGTCTCATTTCCTTCACTGTTTTGTTCCTTCTCCTTTGCTCCAGCCATCGCGTTTTTTCGAACCCAGAAACCATTTTCGATTTCTTCTTCTCTCCCCCATTTGAGCTTTTTGTCTTAACTTTTCATTTCAGCAAATGGGTGACGAGAAGAAGCCTAAATCCCTTGGTGTTTGGCCCACCGTCAAGCCCTTCGTCAATGGAGGCCTCTCTGGTATGCTTGCGACTTGCGTCATTCAACCCATCGACATGATCAAGGTAACACAAATCTTCAGATTTACCTGCTACGTGTGAGGAATCATTGTGATTCAACCGGATTCTGTTGCTTGTTGGTTCGCTGAGATTTTGTTTTTCATTTTCGGATTGGAGTTTCTTGTTGGATTTTAGATCTAGGGTTTTTTAGGTTTTTTTTTTCTCTGTCCTTTGGCTGTTTTATGCGTTTTTGAGTTTATTTGTTGTTTTAATAATGTGTTCTTGATTTGGTTCAGGTGAGAATCCAGTTAGGTCAGGGCTCGGCAGGCGAGGTAACCAGGAACATGCTTAAGGCGGAGGGAGTTGGTGCCTTTTACAAGGTGAGTTTTCAAGATCCAGTTGAAGTTTGTGATTATTACTTGAAATGTACTGTGGTTCTTGTGGCGTGGAACATTGTAGAATACTGGCTTGGTATTAACTTTCTTGTTGATTATAAGATCTTGTCCCTTTGAGGTCTTTTGAGGAGCCAGGAAGGATATTCTGGTTTGGAGATTGGCTTATTGATCCGATTTGTGCTGATATTAATTGTAAATGGTGGATCAACTTTTATCCTATATTACAATCTTGTTTTCTGTTTAGAAAACTGTAAGAGATGTATGATTGTCGCCACCCACTTAGGATTTTAAGATCTTGTGAATTTTTTAGCAGCTAAATGTTGAAGCTTAGTTGGCTTGAACAGCTATGGATATCTATATATACATGTGAAAGATGTAGGTACTTTCTTTCGCTTGATTCATAGATGTTGTGATGTGTAACCAGGCGAACTTTGCTGCCTCTTCACTCTCCTTCAGATGATTATGATACTGAATCGTATCTCTTGTAGAGAGGTGCAGAAGCTCTCTCTTTGACTTAGGAGGGCATTCCACCACTTCGACTGGTGCGGATGCAGACATGGTTCCCTTGTCGTGAAGAATAATGAAAGGGAATCCCCTGGTCAAACCACCTTTGTTGTTGTCTGATAGCTTTATAGAGTAGAGATCTAGCAACGCATTTTAGGCACAGATCATTGGTATTGGATGCATTGTTGGGTTGTGCCAAGTTAAATTAGGTTCTTATTTTTCCGTTGTAGAAAAGAGATCCCTTCCCCCCGGTTTCTAAAATGAAAATTGGGTGTTTGGTGGTTAGGGATTGGGCAATTACTAGATCATTTGAAGGTTTCTTGTGTCGCTTGTATGTATGTTTTGCGTGTCCTTGGCTGCCTTCGACAAGTGAACTGACTAAACTAAGAGGAAAAATGGAACTTCGATCATTTTGGCTTGTATACTTTGCAATTCGTTGTGCATACTATAATCATGTTAGTTGCCTGCTTATTTATATTCTTCACAAGAAAACGACGTAAAATTTAATGTGCTGCATAATGTCGAGCAGGGTCTCTCTGCTGGGCTTCTTAGACAAGCTACCTATACTACTGCACGGCTTGGATCATTCAAGTGAGTTTTATGCTGAATTTTATCTTCGAAAAGTATAAGTTTCTTGTGTAATGAATTGTATTAATTGTTCAATGGATGTTCTTTTTCGTTCCTTCTGTAGGATTTTGACAAACAAAGCAATCGAAGCTAATGACGGCAAGCCCCTTCCTCTTTATCAAAAAGCTTTGTGTGGGTTAACAGCTGGTGCTATTGGAGCATCTTTTGGCAGCCCAGCAGATTTGGCGCTTATCCGAATGCAGGCTGATGCTACCCTCCCAGCTGCACAACGCAGACACTACAAAAATGCATTCCATGCACTGTATCGTATTGTTGGAGATGAGGGTGTTTTGGCTCTCTGGAAGGGTGCTGGTCCAACAGTAGTGAGAGCAATGGCGCTGAATATGGGCATGCTTGCCTCTTACGATCAAAGTGTTGAGTTTTTCAAGGATAACCTTGGTTTTGGTGAAGCTACGACGGTTATAGGTGAGATTCTTTGCCCATTTCATGATCGAATTTCTTCAGAATTCATTCTAAATCTTGTTATACACTTTGTATATTTCATGTTCTATGCATTGTTCATCTTTATTCTATTTTTCAAAACTGGAAACTTGTTCCGCTTTTGGCGTCTACATCACTTAGTCAATGAAAATTATGGAACTTTCTAGGTTCGGCCCAAGCCCACCGCTAGTAGATATTGTCCTCTTTGCTTTCTCTCTCGGGCTTCCCCTTAAGGTTTTTATAATAGGTTTGCTAGGTAGAGGTTTTCACACCCTTATAAAGAATGTTTCGTTCTCCTTCCGAACCGATGTGGGATCTCACAATCCACTCTCTTCGAGGCCAGCATATTCGCTAGCACTTGTTCCCTTCTCCAATCGATGTGGGACCCCCAATCCACCCCTTTCGGCCCAGCGTCCTTTCTGGCACATCGTCTTGTGTCCACCCCTTCGAGCTCAGCCTCCTTGCTGGCACATCGCCTGGTGTTTGGCTCTGATACCATTTGTAATGGCCCAAGCCCACCTCTAGCAAATATTGTCTTCCTTGGTCTCTCCCTTTCGAGCTTTCCCTCAAGGTTTTTAAAACGCGTCTGCCAGGGAGAAGTTTCCACACCCTTATAAAGAATATTTTGTTCTCCTCCCCAACCGACGTGGGATCTCACAATACACCCCATTCGGGCCCCAACATCCTTGCTGGCACATTGTCTTGTGTCCACCCCCCTTCGGGCTCAGTCTCCTTGCTAGCATATTGCCTGGTGTCTGGCTCTGATACCATTTGTAACGGCCCAAGCCCACTGCTAACATATATTGTTCTCTTTGGGCTTTCTCTCAAGGTTTTTAAAGCGCATCTAGGGAGAGGTGTCCACATCCTTATAAAGAATGTTTTGTTCTCCTCCTCAACTCATGGGATTTCTGATTCAGGGGTTTGAATGCTTATTATGTGTTTCATTGATTGACATGTTGTTTCCATTCTTGCCTACTTTCAGGTGCAAGTGCTGTTTCAGGATTCTTTGCTTCAGCTTGCAGTTTGCCATTTGATTACGTGAAGACTCAGATTCAGAAAATGCAGCCTGATGCTGAAGGGAAGCTTCCTTACTCTGGCTCTATGGATTGTGCCATGAAGACCTTGAAATCTGGCGGGCCGTTGAAATTTTACACTGGCTTCCCTGTTTACTGTATTAGGATTGCTCCACACGTCATGGTACGATCTCTTGCCTGCCCCCCGTTTTCTATTTTATTTTCATCCCGATCTGCCCTCGGAGCTAAGTAAAGCCTCACCAAGATTGGGGATAGGGAGATAGATGATTATTTATCAAGATTTTACTTCTAATATTATGATATACGACAATGCAGATGACATGGATTTTCCTCAACCAAGTTCAAAAGTTCGAGAAGACCATTGGACTTTGAGCTCTGGAACGACGGGGTTTCATCTCGACCTGAACAATCTTTAGGAGCGTTTCTTGCCCTCTTCAAGGTGGGCTATGTTGTGGTTCTTCATCTTGACAGAAATCGCGCCCGTAAAAGTTAGACTTATTATTATTATCACTATTTTTTATCGCAAGATCGACATGATAGAGTTGAGGGACTAAACTGTGGTATTGATTTCGGGTTGCGATTGGCTTATAGGATTGTTAAAGATTGAAAATTTAGGATTGCTTTTGGTTCAGGAATCAGTGAGGGGACACATTGATTTGATCAAAATAAAGTTTGGGGGTACTCTTTTTGTTTGACAAAAGGGATGCTGATATCAGTTTTGTCTAACTTGATTGTCTCAGAAACCATCAAGTTTCTGCATTAAATTTGATAAACTCTCTCTCTCTCTCTCTCTCCCTCTCCCTCCTGTTAGGATCATGTTCTTCTCAGGCTGATGCCCTGTTTTGGATGAACAATCCTTTGGTCTGTGGCAATATCAGGAACTTGCTACCATGTGATTTTCGTTCTTTGTTCTAACAGATGGCGGGTTCTTTGTTCTAAGGTAATAGATATCTTATCCACGGAAATCATATATGTATTGTTTTGTTGTTGTTGAAGTTGTGTGGTTAGTCTCTTTGTTGTTAAAGTCGTTTTGTTTGCATAGATATCCATATAGATGATTATTTTAAATTATTAGGGTTTAATTTAAATTTGGTCCTCGAGCTTTCAAAATACCAAAACTATCAAAATCGTTCGAGTAAAGTTCATCTTGGTGGAGTCGACAAGAATGAATTGCATAGCTTATTGACTAAGAGCGTGGAAGAGTTATTTATAGAAGAGTTCATCTTAATGAATTGCATAGCAAATTTTAAAGTCTAATAAAATCCCAAATATATTTTATTAGGCTTTAAAATTTGGTAATTGACTAAATTAAAATTAAGTATTTTTTTAAAAGTAGTAATATTGTTGAGTTATTTATAGAGTGTGGAGGTTGGGTTAGTTTTATTTATGACTAAATTCGGGCCCCAAATCCACCCGTTTGAGGCCGTATTTACTGGCATACCACCTCATGTCTACCACTTCTCGGAACAAGAAGGCTGGCACATTAGCAAGAAGGCTGACACATCGTCCGGTGTCTGGCTCTGATATCATTTATAATGTCCCAGATCTACCGTTAGCAGATATTTGTCCTCTTTGGATTTTTCCTTTCGGAGTTCCCCTCGAGGCTTTAAAACGCGTTATATTAATGGTGGTTTGTTCTTCTCCCAATCAACCTATGACATCACAACATGTTATATTTATTAATAACGGTTCAGTTATGAAATATTGGCATGCAAATGCGACCCAAAAGAACTGACCGTTCTATTTTAGGTTAGTCGGACTGACTTGATGAAAATGAAAAAAAAAAAAAACAACCGAACCTACTTTTCAAGAAATTTAACATAATATAAATCGAAAAAATGTAATTCAATCAAATAATTTAGCCATTATAAATAACCTAGGCCGCCAAATTAGTCTATTATAAATAAACGAGGTTTTTGTTTGGAGATGGAATTTGGAAGAAGATCACTAGATCACTGCAAAATCACAACTCTGCTGATGGAAATGGAGCTTTAGTTTCGCCACTCAGCTACTGGATTTTGGTTTGCAACATGATGCGAGCTCTTCTACTGCGCAAGGGGATCTCTCGGACCCTTCATCTTCCTTCATCTACAATTTCTTCATCGTTCAGATCCCTTGCTGCGCCAACCACCGCTTTTTCTTCCTCTTTATTGGATTTGATCTCTTCTCCACTACCTCGGCCCGCCTCCGTGGACGGCCGTTGCCACTCGCTAGGGTCTCTATGGTCCGTCATTCAGCACCGTGGATTCAAAGTGCACGGTTCCGATGTAAGCTTGTTTCTTATACTCCGTGATTTCCCCGTATTCTTCGTGTTTACATGTAGCTTGGTTTAGCGATTTAATTTTTCTTGAGCTTTGTCGTTTGAGATGTCTTACTTTCTAGTGGTTGCTGTTTATGATTGCAGGTGAGAGTGGGAAATATAATTGAACGGAAAGGTTACTGTCTCTCTGTGTTGATATTTGATTGCATACTGCCTGTTGACTGATAAAGCAATTGTTTCTCTCTGTATCTCATTATATGTATGCATCTACTGGTAGAATGACTTTGATTTTGTTGTCTGAATTCTTTTCTCCCAGAACGTATTTACCAGGTATGCTTTGTTGTCTTTACATCTTATTGATATGATCAAAATTGCATAGCAGTGATATCTTATGCGATGCTTGTTGCTTGGTTATGCCTCCTGCTTTAGGTTACAAAAGTCGACCATTCACATGAAGGAAGAGGAAAAGCCACGATCAAGGTTCATTTCTGAACTTTAAAATTTCTATGTTTTGAGTTCAATTGAATTTTTCCTTGGACGTGTATTTTGGGATAACTGATAAGCAATAGCTTTGGGTAGGGGAGATTTTAAAAAGATCTTCCAATTGCTTCAAGTTCTCTCTTAAACACTCTCATTGGGGTCGAGACCCTTTATAGTGTCCTAAAAATTCAAAATATTCCTACCAACTAAGGTGTAAAGTATCTTTGAATATTTTCTGTGGTGGTCGCCATTTCCTACGTGCTGTGGCTTTTCCTCTTTGGCATCTTCTGGTGTTCCCTAAGAGCCTCTGCAGAAAATACTTATGCATAGAACCCCATAGTGTCATGAGATAAGGTTTCCTCAGACTATTACAAGGTTTTTGCCATTTCCTACGTGCTATGTAATTCTTTTTGTGGGACGTTATTGGTTATCCAGCGTTTATTTGCAACGTTGTTTTTCATAATTTTTCGGATTGGGAGAATGTATCATCCTCACTCTTACTCTTCTGCGTCTCTTCGATGGACTACTTTCTAATAAATCTTATCATCTCTCTCTCTATCTCACATATATATAGGTGTTTTTCCTTGCTAATGTAACGTTAACTTCTACTTTATCCAGGTTGAACTTCGTGATGTTGAGAGTGGAAACAAAGTAACTCAACGGTTGGCCACAGATGAATCTGTTGACAGTTACGCACTGTTCCTTCTAGATACCATTCTCGTGCATCTGATAAGCCTTGCGTTATGAAAATCTTGTTGCAAATGAAATCCTATTACACCTAGTTGAGGATGTTGGGTCTCTATTAAGAGGCATGAGATAAACTGCTCAACATTTTTGTTGGGATACCTCTAATTATTAGTAGATGGTCTTTCAATGATGTATGCATTGATCTGATTTATACCCTTAAAATATTTACACATTGATGTTTTGTTATCTCATTATACAATGTCTTCTATCATAATTTTTTTTTCATCCATGTCTATTACATAATACTACATTTTTTGTGCCTAAATGTTAGGAATAGTCTTAGGCATTGACAATCCTTCCATTTAATGAGCTACCATCATATCTTGTGACTAATGAACTGTTGCAGGGGTTTTTGTGCAGGAGAAAGCATATATATTTATGTGTAGAGATCGGGATGCTAAAATTTTATTAATGGAGTGAGTTCCACTATTCTCCCACTACAAGCTCTTCAATATTTTTTTGTGGTGAACTTTACTGGAAAGTATTATAAAATGAGATTTACTGAAAATTTATGTTAATTATACATCAGCCCTGATTCGTATGAGCAACTGGAAGTCCCCGAGGAATTGTTTGGCAAGGCTGCCATGTATCTACAAGGTGATTAAAATGACGTGCATAAGCATTACAAATTTATATTCGGTTTGTTACTCGACCCATGTATATGATCCAGCATGATTAAATCTTTGTGATTAAAGTCTCATCTCTGTTCCTACTGTGAGAAAGCTTCTCTAAAAATGTTTATCGAATATTCTATCGTGTAATATAATGATGATAACGATGATATAATTATGCTTATGTATGCCACAAATTGTCGATCCATTTTTACTTGTTCTGTACCATCATTCATAATCAATTTCTGTTTGTTTATTCTAGGAACTAACCCTTGATAAACGTGAAAAATAGATGACATGAAAGTTATGGTTCAACTTTTCAATGATACTCCCTTATCTGCATCGGTTCCAAAACGAGTGACGTGTGTTGTGAAGGAAGCCCAACCACCTATGAAGGGAATTGCAGCTACTCCCAAGTATGTCCTTTAACTTTATATTCTGGAGGTTTCTTATTGAAAAATGTTCCTTCTACTTTGTATGTGTGCAACAAATGAAATTGAGACCATGCGACTTTTAAGTTGCAATTTTTTTCACTATATTATCTTGGCTAAAGTGCACCGAACTTTTCGTTCAAAATAGGAATTCAAGGAAGTGAAGAGGAATTTAATTGAAAGCTTTAGAGAAATGGATTGTCTCTGTCTATCATTTTTCCTAATTTCTCTTAAGTTTTTCATGTCTCATAATTTATGAAAAAATTTCTACAGTGTTCTTGTGCTAGAAAAAACATTTTTAGCTCGATCATAAACCCTACATTCTAATGACTTTATTGATTCAGGGAAAAGAAGGCGGTGCTGGACAATGGCATGACATTAAAAGTAGGTTTGGTGTTCATTTATACAGTGCTACATAACCTTCATGGGGGACTTTTATTTTTAGCCGTGCCTGTATTTTTAATCTGTTTTCATGCTCTACTTTTTTAACCTTGGTGAGCCTCCCAATACATTACCTTCAACGATTTAGGACTCTCTTCCTCTCTCTCGTGTATGCGTTCATATCTTGGAAGCATTGCCATATGGACTTCTCCTTTCTCATTGCCACAATCTGTTATTTGAGTCATCGAGCCATACATGGGCATGCATATATACATTTGTATGCTTCTGTGAACGACATCTATATATACGTTTCTGCATAATGAATACGCAATTTGTACATTGGTAGAGAGGCATTGTTTATAACTCTGGTAATTGAGGCAGTATTGGCTTAATCATTGAGGCAGTCCCTTCCTCATATATTTTTTATCCTCTGTTGCTCTGTATAGTTAGCCCAGTTCAAGTTCTCTTTTGCCCCAGTTACTGATGCAATTTGGAGTGCTATAAGGACTGTTCTCTGCTTGTATTTTCAGGTACCACCACACGTCGTTGTCGGAGATGTTGTAGTGATTAATACAGAGGACGACTCTTATATCGAGAGGTATGCCCTCTTGTCATCTGTGAATGTCTTTTTACGACCTCCTTCCGATGGAGGAGGCATTGAATATTGTAGAAAATCATTTAAACAATCCTTTTTCAAACCATCTTTCTCCTCTGCAGGGCAAAGGGGTAGTCGTAAGATTCCGATGATGAGCACGGTTAGATAGGTCGTCGAGCCATTTCGTTTTTTTTGCTAGCTTGAGCGGATGAGCAGTCCTGCTGTAGAAAAAGAAGGTACAAAATTATTTGGTGTATCAAGGGGTATGCAACCCCAACAATCATGCAACTGCTAAGAATGCTTCTTTGGGAACACTGCGTTGAATTGTTGTTGAGCTTCCAATAAATGCTTCTTTGTTATAATACCTTAGAGTTGTATGCCATGAGAGGGACAAGACCATGTTTTACTTGGCACAATGAAAGTTAACATTTTTTAGTACTATTTTCATTTGTGTTCGGAAGTCCACAGAAAAATTATTGCTAATGGCCCGAAATGCCACAAATTTGAAGTAGGAGGAAATCGAACCATGTTGAGCTATGTTTAGATTGACAAATTTTGCGAGTATTAATTAATGGTAATAGCCTATGTCCATGCACAAATGTAAGTAGAACGAGCAAACTTGGTTCATTGTGTTAAGCCGTACCTACCGGTGCAGGTCAGCTTGATCAATCACACATTTTCTTCTTTCTTTAAGTTCGTATACGGGTTTAGGTTGTTGGCCATGTATGAGATGAATATGGTGTTCTTTTATCTCTTAAAACACGCTTTCAAGTTCTATGGTGTTCTTTTATCTCTTAAAACACGCTTTCAAGTTCCCTACCATCTTCACGAGGTAAGCTAGATCAAAAGTTGAGACCTCTAACCTTAACTGTTCAAGAGACATCTTAGTAATATTAAATATTTACCCACGCATTCAAGCAAACTCGATAGGACACACTTTCCTATGTTTAAGTCATAAACTTAAAATTGCACTAAGGTTTGGGCTTAGAGAACTAGGTTTTATATCACTTCAATGACATTATCAAATCTATTTATATGAAGGTTGATGTACTACTTCCTTCCTCTTGCTTTGGAACGAGATTAAGAGTGAGTAAGTTTTGGACTCGTCTCAAGACCTAATAGGGTGTGCAAAGTGCATGTTCCCCAGTGCTCGACCTAGACCTAAATGAGCCCAGCTTATCGATCTAGTAACTTTTCTCTTGGATTCAGTATTGACTCAAAATCTATATAAATTCTATTTGATTCCTAATAATTTTTTATAATTTCTTACTATATCAAAAAAAAAATCAAATATTCGCCTTAAATCTCAAGCTTATGATGCGAATAAGTTTAAACCCTAAGTGAATTTATAAATACACGGGTCAGATTTACATAAGTGAAATTCTTGAACCAATAAATTTTTATGAATTAAAGTTGGTCCATACATTCTCTTAAACTAAATTGATTTTAACTTAATCAAAATTTTAAAAAATATATTTTTTCAATTATAAATACATATATTTATTTTCAAATTAAGGAAGGTAATTTTTAAAAATTTATGTTTGGATTAAATTGGTTTTACCAAAAGGGTTTTAAAATAAATAAATGTTTAATCTAAAAATGTCCTAATAAAAACAAATTATAGTAAGTCGAAAGAGATTGTTAATTTGAAGATATTAGGTATTGTAAATTGGAATATACTAACACCAAACCAAATGTTCGTGAAAATAAACGGCGGATTAAGAATTTCCCCCCACAATTTTTCAACAAAATTTATAATGTTTTGTTTCTGAGGCTTAATGTGTCGAAGAAAACAAGCGAATCGAAGCTTTTGGACTTTCCCACTGAAGAACAATAAGCTGTGCGTACGCTTCCAAATCGCCTGTTCCACCCCACGCCACCGATAACTCGAATGGTATGACTTCGAATTCTATTTCATTCATTACCTTTTGATGCTGCACTTCACTTTTCCCTCTGGGCAATGGCTGAATTTCCGAGGGTTGAAATTTTCGAGGGGATATACGAAACTTTCTTTCCGTTTGAATTCGTTCCATCCTTTTTCTGATTTTCTCAATTTTGGGTAGCTTCTTTTGCTTAATGGGTACCTAGGGTTGCGCATTTTCTTTGTATATGTTTGAATTGGATTCAGTTTTCGTGGGTTTGTTCTCGTTTCAGTAATTTTTCTAATTAGGGCCATGAGACGTGATTTGAATGAGGAAACAAAGGTTTCTATTGAGTTTTTGATATGGGGGATGGATAAACTTTAGTTTACTACTCATTTGACTGATAGTTGGTTGTTGGTGGTAATGATCACCTGTTCGTAGGGCTTTGTTTTGCTCATTCATATGTTGGTGCTTCTGGATCCTTGCAGGTCAGCAAATGGACGCGGTAGTTGTTTTCTAGCAAAGGCAGTTTGATTGGTTGGAAACTGGTATCTTTGTGGGAGACTTTTAGATTGCTGAAGTGATGTGGACGAATATTTTCAAAATTGTAGGTTCCTGGACCTATTCAATTTAGATCTATCCCCAATGTATATGCATGGTGGTCGTATCTCGTATGCTTTAATTCTGTTATTTTTCTGCGTTGAATTGCTCTTTATGTTTGTTCCCATAATGGAAACTTGGTTACTTCTTGGTGTTTTGCACATTTTCCCCTATTATCGAGCATGATAAGTGACATAAATTGTGAAAATCTACAATCTCGATAAGCTCAACTGCAATTGAATGGTGAAGGAGGAGAATGCCTTCTTTTTCATGAACTTGGCAGTTAATGTTTTAGAAGCACGGATATGACATGACACGGACATAGTGACATGACATTTCTTAAAAAGCTAGGACACAGACACGACAAGGGCAGGTCTATTTAATTATATATCATTTTTGTACAACTAGCGCCTAACACATATTCTAACAAGTGTTTGATATGTGTCTGACAAGTGTTGAAGTGTCCAAGTGTATCGCACGTGTCAAACATGGACGCGCTAGCCAAACTAAAGTGTTAGTGATTCTTAGGTTGAAATTAGAGATACATTTTACACATTTGCTAATTTAGTCGATTGAATTCCTTTAGAAGGTCCATGTTGGGACGTTGTGGAGCTTTTGTTGTGTTCCATTAGAAACTTAACTCTGCATCAGTGCTTTTAAGGTGATACTAGGCTGTAGGTGAGGCAATGTGAGCAGGGGCACTCAATAGTTTGTCATCCTAATGTCTCCTGTTTGTTGTCTTTTGATTGTTTTAGTTTCTCCATTGTGGCATCAAAGTAATTTGGCAAATAAAAACGTAGCATTGCTAATTCGTGATTTCTTTAGTACATGAATAGAATACTGGCTTTTCAATTGTTATGTTTTGACTGTGCGCTCACGTCCAATCTATTCATCATTTACAACTTCCCTTTTCTAAAACAATGTGCGTCACTACTCTTAGGCTAATCCTCAAATATGTTTTATTGTTAACTTTAGAATTTTTGGCATTTGTGTAGTCCTATAATACTCTCTACTGTGATTTTGTCTTAGGGGGGTCTACATCAAATTTCATGGTTCCAGTTTCTGCCTAATGAATCTGACTTGATTTCATTACCGGACAAAAGGTTAATGCTAAGTGAACCTCTTTCCTAGTTTAACAATTAGGGTTTTTTTTGTGTGGTCTTCCACTTCTTTAAGGATACTAAAATTAGGCTTTTGATGTTGTAAGTGCAAAGGTTGAGCACAATGATGCTGCCACATTCTTGGTGCTTTCATCACACGTGCAATTACAGAAGGAAGGATTTTTAAGCACTTGGACCAACTCATTTGTTGGGCCTTGGGACCCTTCTCAGGGTTTGCACAATCCTGGTGAGAAATGCAAATGTGGTGCAATATGTGTTTTCCATCTATCTGCCTCAATTTTCCTTGTCTAACTTTGATAATTTGTTATACCAGATGAAAAAATTAAACTTTGGCTTTTTCTACCTGGGCGCCATTCTTCTGTTGCTGAAACTGCTCAAGCAGCTGTTTCCAAGTTAAGGGGTATGTGCTACTTATAAACACATTGTCCATGATGTAATAAGTTTTTCCCAACTTTTTATGTATCTTAAAAACCCGAACTTGGCAGTGGATGATTCAAATTAATTTATTCTTGTTACAACTTATTTACAAACTTGACTATTCTTGAACTCATTCTCCATGATACAAAAGGAGTGTATTTATTTAGCTTTTGTGGGCTTTGTTTGAATTATTTGTTGCCGTTAGAGGACTTAATGTACAATTCTGAACCCCTCTGTGGTCATGTCGTGTTTACAACAGTGGTTGCCTCTGGACTGTGGACCTCTCCTGGGGATTTGGAGGAGGTTGCGGCTGCCCTTTCACAGGCATTACGAAACTGTATTGAGAGGTCATTTATTTTGACACACTTACTGTTTATATGCTGTGGTATTTGGTTATTTATACTCAAAGCTAACTTACCTGGGATTGGCAGATCCCTAACTGCACTTTCATACATGAGGTTTGGAGATGTTTTCACAAAATATCAGTATGGTCAAAGTGAAGAATTATTCAGGTTTCTCTTTAATTCTTGTCAGCTTCAATCTTTCTTTTATATGGATGCTGTGGATTCAGGTTTCTCTTTAATTATTCAGGTTTTTCTTCCTTAGTTTGTGTGGTTTGTTAGGTATTGAAGTGCAGTGGAGTTTGGGAGGTCTAATTAAGATCAAACGGCTTCTAATGTGGTTTGTTAGGGATCGAAGTGCAGTGGAGTTTGGGAGGTCTAATTAGGATTAAACGGCTTCTAAGCGATTTATGGAAATCAAATAATATGTTGGCTAGAATTTGTTCTTCGGCTTCCTGCATGGCTTCGGTTACACTCCAGTATATTTCTTTTTTACTAATAGCTATGCATACTATGATATTTTCACTTAATAGTACCCGTCATTGTTTCTGCCAAAGCTGGGATGTTAAATTTGGTTAATTGCCAGTACATGCAGCTACCTCTTGAGGCAGTTATACATGACCCCTATACTATGTATAACTTGTGAAAAGAGGAGAAAAGGCACACTTTTATTTTTCATAATAAGATTAATGAAAAAAAGATACATTGAAGCCGTATAAAGTTGGGGGTAATAGTGTCCACCTTTTCAACTAAAAATACATAAATGGTGGTTGTAGGGTATAATTTCGTCAAATTTATTCTCCATGAGTTTATCTTCTTAATTGGAAGTTGAAGGTTAAATGTGGGATCATTGTAGCCGGAGTATGTTTTAATGCAAAGGCATATATATTCGTTTTTATGACTTCTTACTTTTGTTCTTACCCTTGTTTCTTTAATGGACAATGATCTTTTCTGATGGATGCCAATGGTCAGGAGAGGGCAACCTACAATGGAGTTCATATTTTCTGCTACTGAGGAGGCAATATTTGTGCATGCCATCATATCTGCAAAGTAAATCCTTTTCTACTTTTAAAATGCTGACTATGCAGGTTAAATTGTTC